TGAACCGGGGAGGCGGACGTTGCGGTGAGCCAAGATGGTGCCATTGCACTCCAGCCTGGGTAACAAGAGAGAAACTCCTTCTCAAAAAAAAAATAAGTAAGTGGGCTAGGTGCAGTGGATTACATCTGTAATCCCAGTACTTTGTGGGGATAAGGCAGGAGGATCCTTTGAGCCCAAGTATTCCAGATAGCCTGGGCAACATAGTGAGACCCTGTCTCTACAAAAAAAATTTTTTTAATTAGCTGGGCATGATTGTGCATGCCTGTAGTTCCAGCTACTCAAGAGGCTGAGGTGAAAGGATCACCTAAGCCTGGGACGTTGAGTCTGCAGTGAGCTATGATTGTGCCACTGCGCTACAGCCTGGGCAACAGAGTGAGACTATCTCCAAAAAAAAAAAAAAAAAAAGAGTAAGTTAGTTTAGGCAGGCGCTTACATAGTGTGCTTTGTTCCCTTAATGGGTGGATGATGCTTGAACTCTGTAGAACAAAACCTTTCACTTTACAATTAAAAATATGGGCCGGGCGTAGTGGCTCACACCTGTAATCCCAGCACTTTGGAGGCCAAGGTGGGCGGATCACCTGAGGTTGGGAGTTCAAGACCAGCCTGACCAACATGGTGAAACCCCGTCTTTAAAAAAAAAAAAAAAAAAGAAAAAAAATATGGTTCAAATATCAATTAAAAAAGAAAAAAATATATGCTTCAAGATATCCATATCTGGGAAAGAAATGCAGTCACTTAAATTTACAGTAAGGTGCTGAGCACGGTGGCTCATGCCTGTAATCCCAGCACTTTGGGAGGCCAAGGCGGGTGCAGAGCACTTGAGGTCGGGAGTTCAAGACCACTCTGGCCAATATGATGAAACCCTGTCTCTACAAAAAATACAAAAAAAATAGCTGGTTGTGGTGGCTCATGCCTGTAGTCCCCGTTACTGGGAGGCTGAGGCAGGAGAATCACTTTAACCCGGGAGGCGGAGGTTGCAGTAAGCTGAGATCATGCCACTTCACTCCAGCCTGAGTGACAGAGCAAGACTCTCTCAAAAAAAAATAACAAACAAACAAATAAAAACTTTACAGTATGGTGTAAATTATATCAAATTCTATTCATGGAAGCAGATTTTTCACTGGGAAAGGATACAAGGAAGTTAATGTGTGGTTGTGGGCACTGTAGGGAGGGAAACTGATGGGAGGATTTAGCTTTGAGAGTTCATTTTGTCTGTGTCCCAATTGTGGCCAAGTTTAGCTCAGATAAGATTCGTGAGGAGCAGGGTGGAAGGTGTGATGGAAAGGGCAGTCCAGTCCTCTGATACTGTGGGTCTCATCATTGTGTCACCATCTTTGTGTTTTCATTGGAATCATCTGAGGAGCTTTATAAAACTAATGCCTGGATCCTGTCCTCAGGGATTTAAACTTGGTTGGTTTGTTTATTTTGTAGAGATGGGGGTCTCACTATGTTATGCAGGGTGGTCTCAAACTCCTGGCCTCAAGCGATCCTCCTGCCTTGGCCTCCAGAAATACTACGATTATAGGCACAAGCTACCCACTGTGCCTAAACGTTATTTTCTCTCTCTCTCTCTTTTTTTTTTTTTTTTTTTTTTTTTTTTGGTTTTTGAGATGGGGTCTCAAACCCTTTAATTCAAGTGATCCTCCAACCTCAGCCTCCAGAGTAGCTGGGACTACAAGGCACAGGCCACTGTACCTAAACATAAAATTTAAAAACTCTCTCCCAGTAATCCTAATAGGCAGCAAAATTTGAGAACCACTGTTCAAATGTATCACCCTGCTACATACAACCGCCTATTTTTCTCTTTGTTCTCCTCAACAGTTGTCTCTCAAGCCTAAAGCAGCAATTTGATGGGACACTAGGTTTAGAGAGGAAGCCACCTGGTTTCCTTTTTCTTTGTCATTTCAGCTCTCTGTAAGTTTAAACAAGCTTGTCCAGGTCTTAGTTCCATATCCACCCTGGACTTTGCATGTGACCAGGGATAGCTTACCTCACCTTATCTGTTATCTAGGGACACCATTACCAGTTTAGTTTATTCCGGCATTTGTGACTTCATTCATGTTTATGTAAGAATCCTGCTCCCCTTTTCAGGATAGGCAGTGAGTGCAAAGTGCTGAGAAATGGAGGGTTCCTCTTACAGGTGGCTGTTGATCCAGTCACCTTTCACCAGGGACTAAATTTACCTTAAAGAAGAGCGTAGATCAAATTACACATCAGAAAGCACATTTCATTAAAGAGCAAGAAAGGGGACAGTGTTTCCCAGGAGAAGATGAAAAGAAAAGGATTTCTTTTCTTGTCGGAAGACTTGACAAAACAGCAACTGGATATCAAATGTTCAATGCTAATTAACAAATGCTCAGTAGAAAGCCTCCATCTGATTCCCTCTCCCTGACTAAGGTCAGGAAGCAAATGGCAGGTAGAAGCCACACAAGGCCCTTTCTTTAGCATTAGGGAAACCATACGTTGTTGATGTGCTTGAGAAAGCATTGGACAGGAGTCAAAATTCTGAATGCTTGCTTCACTGAATTACTGTGTGAACTTGGAAAAGTCACTTAACCTCTCCAAGCTTCAATTTCCTTATCTGTAAAAATAAACTGCATTGCACAAAACTGTGACTTGCCATAAACTGAAATAGAACCCCCGCCCCTCATTTGTAAGGTCAGGCCTGGAAGCACAGAACCCATCCATTTCACAGTCATGACTCACAATGCTAAGAGCCTTATTATCTGAAGTTTCAAAACACAATTCAGTAAAATGTTTTAAATTTAAAAACACAGGCAAAATTTTTGTTGAAAAGTAGAAGTTGCTGCGTGCGGTGGCTCAAGCCTGTAATCCCGGCACTTTGGGAGGCCGAGGCGGGTGGATCACGAAGTCAAGAGATCGAGACCATCCTGGTCAACATGGTGAAACCCCGTCTCTACTAAAAATACAAAACATTAGCTGGGCATGGTGGCGCGTGCCTGTAATCCCAGCTGCTCAGGAGGTTGAGGCAGGAGAATTGCCTGAACCCAAGAGGCGGAGGTTGCGGTGAGCCAAGATCGCGCCATTGCACTCCAGCCTGGGTAACAAGAGTGAAACTCCGTCTCAAAAATGAGAAAAAAAAAAAAAAGTAGAAGTTACTAATATTTTAAATAGGTTGTTTCAGCTCCCACCTCCCGCAAAAAAAAGACCTCCTACCTTTGAAATATGCCACTGATATTAGCCAATATGTTAACCAATATGTTACCTCAGAAATTAATAAGATTAACAAGCAACATGGAAAACAGATCTAATTTTAGTATATGTGTATTTAAGGTTACCTTGATTATTTTACTACCGACAATGTAAATTCTCTAATTGATAAAATTCAGGACTCCACAAACTTTAAAAGTCTCACATGTGGCTGGGTGCAGTGGCTCACACCTGTAATCCCTGCACTTTGGGAGGCTGAGGTAGGCTGATCAGTAGGCAGGCGCCTCAGGAGGCTGAGGCAGGAGAATCGCTTGAACCCCGAAGGTGGAGGTAGCAGTGAGCAGAGACCACGCCATTGCATTCCAGTCTGGGTGACAGAGTGAGACTTCATCTCAAAAAAAAAAAAAAAAAAAAAAAGTCTCACATGTACACATTAATTTTTTAAGACTTTTTTGCTTTCTAAGAGATGAGGTCCCACTATGTTGCTGAAGCTGGAGGCAGTGGTTATTTACGGGTGTGATCATCACTCACTGCAGCCTGAAACTCCTGGACTGAAGCAATTCTCTTGCCTCAGCCTCCCAAGTATCTGGACTACAGGTGTGCACCACCATACCTGGTTTACACATTAATATTGTCAAATTTTTCAATCTTTTGTCCCCACAATATTTTTCTGAGTAAGATAGTGCAGTTACAATATTACCACTTTATGAAGAGGGAAATGGTGGTATATCATGGTGTGACTGCCACCGTGTCTCAATTTATCAGCGAGGCAAGAATAGAACTAGGATTAGAACAATTTAGGTTTACTGATGCCCAGGGGAACTACAAAACCAAGGACTTGTGGTCACTTCCTGCATGTAAGAGAAAAAGAAAGTATTTTAGGAAGTGGGAAGCACTTTAAGACTCATTTCAAGGTAAAAAGAGAATGCAGAATACCTGGTCCAGGAAGCATTTTATCCTTACTTATCCTCTCTGAATGGGAGGCTGCTTCTGTGATGGTGAGCAGGTGTTAGCTATTTCTAAGCATTCAAACCAGGCTGGAGCTGAAAAGGCTTTAGACACTGAGGGCTGCCTGGAAGCTCCTACCTCATTGTTTCAAGAGGGCTCCCCTCCCCCCAGGTTAGAGCTGGGTGGGCCTCCGTAGGCCTCGGCTGGCTAGCGTCTCCCCAAACCCACCGTCTTTAATAGTGACAGTGTGAGGAATGTTGCAAGACGAGAATAGAGAAGAAAGAGGGTAGGAAAGAGGGTACCAAATAGGAGATGGCTTATTAAATAAGCATGGACTCTATAAATTAGGTGTTGTGCAGGCCGGGCGATCTGCAGAGTAGCCTGCATTCAGCTATTATTCTGGGGGAGGAAGGGCGGGCAGTGAAGGGGCTTAGTGTTCCGCAGAGTCCTGAAATGACTTCCTGGGAAATTCTACCTTGCAGCCGCCCACCCTGAGAAACTTCTTTTGTGGAGAGGAATGGGGGTAGGGTGGGAATAGGAGTGAGAAAGACGGGACAAAACTTGGAGTATTTTGGGGTGTGTGTGCTGGTGAAGGGTGGATGTTCTGAGCTCCCCCTTTTCCTCTGGCCCTCAGACCTCTGAGGAGATCAGACAACCCTCTCTGGAATCCACGTTTTCCAAGCTCAGCGGATCCTTTATCCAAAGAAAAATAAGAGAAGCCTATCGCCTTGCTCTATTGAGCAGGGCTGCGTTTCCCACTGTGCCCCTAGAGCTTAGGAGGGGAGGGCGGGGGGAGGAGGGTAGGCCTGGGCAAAGGCATCTGCAGATGGGGGGAGCCGGCCAGGGACGGAGAAAGGTGGACCCCCGCAGTGCTTCACCGCACCTGTCACTGCGCCTCCGGAAACTCTCTCGAGCTCTGGGCTCCCGCCCCCATGCCCCCCGCTTGCGCTCCTGTCTCCCGCCTCCTCTAGCTCCCGCCTCCCTCCCCAGCAGCTCCTCCCCATAAACTCCCCTCCTCATCAGCTCCTCCCAGATCTCCCCTCTCCCCGCTTTCTCTCTCCAGCTCCTCCCCGCCTCCTCGTTCCCCTCCCCCTCCGCCGCTGCTCCCTGCCCCCGCCGTCGCCGCGGATCTCCGTCTCCGCAGTCTGGGCCGCTGGGTGCAGACGCTGCCGCAGACCCAGCGGCCACCGCCGCCTCCCTCAATCCCAATATCCATTGTCTCCCACCCCACCTGGCCCTCCACTTCCCTCACAACCATGGCGCACGAATCCGGGAGGAGCTCTCGTCTTGGGGTGCCCTGCGGGGAGCTGGCAGAGCTTGGAGGTGCGGTAGGGCCGGGCTGGGCAGGGGTGGGGGCGGAGGGGATGCACACGGCGGTGAAGACTTTCGGTGGGCGGGAGAAAATGCATGATTCTTTGCAATAGGCCTCTGGCCTCACACCTATTCCTTGAACTCGCTGGTGCCCCGGGGAAGGGAGGGTGACTGAGGAGGGGAGTAGCGTGTGCGTGCCTCCCTCCTCTGCGCCCCCAACCCTGCCCCATGCCGGGTTGTCTCCTGCCCACACTGATCAGGCCTGAGCTCTAGCCTTCATGGCCTGATGGTGAGCTCATCTCCCCACCCCCAACTAGCAGTTACTGGGCTCCTTGTTAATTAGAGCTCGGCATACCCAACCCAACTGCGCCACCCACGCTCTCTCTCTCCTTGTCTTCTCCCCAGGTGATGCTAGCGAGGAGGATCACCCCCAAGTCTGTGCCAAGTGCTGCGCACAATTCACTGACCCAACTGAATTCCTCGCCCACCAGAACGCATGTTCTACTGACCCTCCTGTAATGGTGATAATTGGGGGCCAGGAGAACCCCAACAGCTCTTTGGCCTCCTCCGAACCCCGGCCTGAGGGTCACAATAATCCTCAGGTCATGGACACAGAGCATAGCAACCCCCCAGATTCTGGGTCCTCCATGCCCACGGATCCCACCTGGGGCCCAGAGAGGAGAGGAGAGGAGCCTTCGGGGCATTTCCTGGTCGCTGCCACAGGTACAGCGGCTGGGGGAGGTGGGGGCCTGATCTTGGCCAGTCCAAAGCTGGGAGCAACCCCATTACCTCCAGAATCGACCCCTGTACCCCCTCCTCCTCCACCACCCCCTCCGCCCCCAGGTGTAGGCAGCGGCCACTTGAACATCCCCCTGATCCTAGAAGAGCTACGGGTGCTACAGCAGCGGCAGATCCATCAGATGCAGATGACTGAGCAAATCTGCAGGCAGGTGCTGTTGCTTGGCTCCTTAGGTCAGACGGTGGGTGCCCCTGCCAGTCCCTCAGAGCTACCTGGGACAGGGACTGCCTCTTCCACCAAGCCCCTACTACCCCTCTTCAGCCCCATCAAACCTGTCCAAACCAGCAAGACACTGGCATCTTCCTCCACCTCCTCCTCCTCCTCTTCCTCTTCGGGAGCAGAAACGCCTAAGCAGGCGTTCTTCCACCTTTACCACCCACTGGGGTCACAGCATCCTTTTTCTGCTGGAGGGGTTGGGCGAAGCCATAAACCCACCCCTGCCCCCTCCCCAGCCTTGCCAGGCAGCACAGATCAGCTGATTGCCTCACCTCATCTGGCATTCCCAAGTACCACGGGACTACTGGCAGCACAGTGTCTTGGGGCAGCCCGAGGCCTTGAGGCCACTGCCTCCCCAGGGCTCCTGAAGCCAAAGAATGGAAGTGGTGAGCTGGGCTATGCAGAAGTGATGGGTCCCTTGGAGAAGCCTGGTGGAAGGCACAAATGCCGCTTCTGCGCCAAAGTATTTGGCAGTGACAGTGCCCTGCAGATCCACCTTCGTTCCCACACAGGTGAGAGACCCTATAAGTGCAATGTCTGTGGAAACCGCTTTACCACCCGTGGCAACCTCAAAGTGCATTTCCACCGGCATCGTGAGAAGTACCCACATGTGCAGATGAACCCACACCCAGTACCAGAGCACCTAGACTATGTCATCACCAGCAGTGGCTTGCCTTATGGTATGTCTGTGCCACCAGAGAAGGCTGAGGAGGAAGCAGCCACTCCAGGTGGAGGTGTTGAGCGCAAGCCCCTGGTGGCCTCCACCACAGCACTCAGTGCCACAGAGAGCCTGACTCTGCTCTCCACCAGTGCAGGCACAGCCACTGCCCCAGGACTCCCTGCTTTCAATAAATTTGTGCTCATGAAAGCAGTGGAACCCAAGAATAAAGCTGATGAAAACACCCCCCCAGGGAGTGAGGGCTCAGCCATCAGTGGAGTGGCAGAAAGTAGCACAGCCACTCGCATGCAGCTAAGTAAGTTGGTGACTTCACTACCAAGCTGGGCACTGCTTACCAACCACTTCAAGTCCACTGGCAGCTTCCCCTTCCCCTATGTGCTAGAGCCCTTGGGAGCCTCACCCTCTGAGACATCAAAGCTGCAGCAACTGGTAGAAAAAATTGACCGACAAGGAGCCGTGGCAGTGACCTCAACTGCCTCAGGAGCCCCCACCACCTCTGCCCCTGCACCTTCATCCTCAGCCTCTTCTGGACCTAACCAGTGTGTCATCTGTCTCCGGGTACTTAGCTGTCCTCGGGCCCTCCGCCTTCATTATGGCCAACATGGAGGTGAGAGGCCCTTCAAATGCAAAGTGTGTGGCCGAGCCTTCTCCACCAGGGGTAATCTGCGTGCACATTTCGTGGGCCACAAGGCCAGTCCAGCTGCCCGGGCACAGAACTCCTGCCCCATCTGCCAGAAGAAGTTCACCAATGCTGTCACTCTGCAGCAACATGTTCGGATGCACCTGGGAGGCCAGATCCCCAACGGTGGTACTGTACTCCCTGAAGGTGGACGAGCTGCCCAGGAGAATGGCTCCGAACAATCTACAGTCTCTGGGGCAGGGAGCTTCCCCCAGCAGCAGTCCCAGCAGCCATCACCAGAAGAGGAGTTGTCTGAGGAGGAGGAAGAGGAGGATGAGGAAGAAGAGGAAGATGTGACTGATGAAGATTCCCTAGCAGGGAGAGGCTCAGAGAGTGGAGGTGAGAAGGCAATATCAGTGAGAGGTGATTCAGAAGAGGCATCTGGGCCAGAGGAGGAGGTGGGGACAGTGTCAGCAGCAGCCACAGCTGGGAAGGAGATGGACAGTAATGAGAAAGCTACTCAACAGTCTTCTCTGCCACCACTACCAGCACCTGAAAGCCTGGATCAGCCTCAGCCAATGGAGCAGGGAAGCCGTGATGTTTCAGGAGGCAAGGAAGAGGGGGGCAAACCAGAGAGAAGCTCAAGCCCAGCATCAGCACTCACCCCAGAAGGGGAAGGCACCAGCGTGACCTTGGTGGAGGAGCTAAGTCTGCAGGAGGCAATGAGAAAGGAGCCAGGAGAGAGCAGTGGCAGAAAGGCCTGCGAAGTATGTGGCCAGGCCTTTCCCTCCCAGACAGCTCTGGAGGAGCATCAGAAGACCCACCCCAAGGAGGGGCCGCTCTTCACTTGTGTTTTCTGCAGGCAGGGCTTTCTTGAGCGGGCTACCCTCAAGAAGCATATGCTACTGACACACCACCAGGTACAGCCCTTTGCCCCTCATGGCCCTCAGAATATTGCTGCTCTGTCTTTAGTCCCTGGCTGTTCACCTTCCATCACCTCCCCAGGGCTCTCCCCTTTTTCCCGAAAAGACGACCCCACGATTCCATGAGTCTGTTTTTCTGTACCTGCTCCTCTTTGTCCCACAGAGCAGAAACAGCTTCCCAGAAGGACCTCCCAGATTTATGAGCCCTGATTTTGTCTTTTTCTCTAAATTCTTAACATGATATGTCCCTAGTGGCTTTTCTCTAGTCCCTGAGCTTGGAAATTACTGTGCTTACAAGGTAATGTCCCCCTAAGGAATTTTTCTTCCCTCCTCTTTCTTTGTACCTGAGGAAAATATATTCCCTGCAGCTTTCTCAAGGGGAACCCTCTTCATCTTCCCTGGTATAACCCTCTTCCCCCTCCTCTTTCCCTCTCCCTTTCCCTTTGGCAAGTGCACCTGAGCACCTACAGTTGGAATTGCAGCCTAGCCCAAAAGGGCTGGCAGCTGTCTCTGGAGGGCCCAATGCCACTCCTCTGGGGTGACCTTTCTGCTCAGCCGGTGGGTGTGGGTCCCCTATCTTTCTAGAACCAGTACGTGGCATTCCTGTTAAGTTGCCTGCCCATGAAGCCCTGGAATTCCAGCTCCACCTCCACTACCACTCCAAGCCCGGCCCCACCAGTGCTCTTTGGCCTAGGAACTGTGGCTGGGAAGGTGCCTCCAACAATGGGATCCAGGGAGGCCAAGGAGAAGACAGCCCCGCTCCTATTTCAGCCTCCTGCATCCAAGGCAGTGCCTGAGAGGCCCATCGTAGACAAGAAGTAGCAAACCGTACATCCCTTCTCCCTCCCTCTGCTCCAGAAGGTGCCGGTACCAAAGATGCTCCAGTAATTAGTGACATAACCCTAGCAAGTAGGGAGAAATGAAGGGTGCAGGACAATTTTCCCAGTAAATCCCTTGATGGTCACATTAAGGCAAAGGTGTTGGGTGTGCCAAGACTTCTCCATCATGGCCTCTCAAAGCTGGGAAAAATTTTTTTTTTCTTTATTTGCCAAGAGCTCTTCCAGAAGATATTTGGGAAACGTGAAGTTAATTCATGTCTTTAAGGAGCATTGTTGGTCAGCATCGTTGATGAAGTAATGATGAGAGAGTTAATGAATGTTGCTAAAACAGGGCTTGCTGGCACCTATGTGACTAAGAAAGGTACATGATATAAGGGAAAGGGCCTCAAATTCTCGTGAATGTGGGCATTCTGGGTAATATTCTTTTGGGCTAATAGTGGACATAGTGTGCAGAGGTGTACCAGGGATCATGGGGGATTTCCTAGCACTAGTATGCTTCTAGTTTTACATAGCTCCCTCCTTTATTCCCTGGCCCCTTGTATTTTCCTTATCTTCCTCTTTCAAGACCCCTATCCTCCCCATTTTGCCTATCCATAGGCTAGAGCTTGTGTCTTTGCCATTGTCTGGTTCTTAGAGTCCCAGACTTTGGGAGACCAGCTCCAGGTGGTGTCCTCCCTGCCTCTCTGTCTTGTAATGAGATGTAGTATTTACTCTTAACATAGGATCATTTGGAACGGGAGTTCTGAGGAGGAGAGAGCGAGGGTTTGCGACTGACTGACTTGAACGATGGCTTCTCCTCAAGCTGTAGGCTCCAGAGCTTCCTAACATAGTAAAATGTCAAGAACAGGCAGGGGAGATATTAGTGTCTTTCCCTCTATCATTAAAGGTGTTTTAACCAAATATTTATGTGTTTCTCCTTATTTCATGATTACATAGCCAGCTGGGGTGTGATATGGGCATTCTCCAACATTGAGATTCCCTTCCCACCTACATCTCCTGCCAAAGCTGAACATATGGTGTTGAAATCTTTACTTTATTCAGCCTTGTCCTAAGACAACCTTCAGTTAATGTAACTTCCCTGTGGAAATTTCTCCCTGTGGAGTTGGTATTCCCAAAAGGTAGGCATTTGCCCACTGTGTCCAGTCATTGTCTGGATTTTCTCTACCGAGAACCTTCCATCACTAGGCTTTTGTGTGGGTTTTGTTTGGGGGTTGGAAACTTTCTTTTTGGTCTTTCTCAAACCACAGATTAGCCTTCTGACATCAGTGAATCTGTAGAACCAAGGTGAATTAAATATGATCTTTGAGTTCTGATGTCATAATCAGAAAGAAAAAAGATGTGATTCAAGCTTAAAAGTTTCTACCAACAAGACAAAGGAGGATTCTTAGTATTAAGAATGCAGAGGAAGCACATAGGGGTGGGGATAAATAAAACATGTATTAATTTTGTGTGTGTGTGTGCCAGTCACAGTGGCTCATGCCTGTAATCTCAACATTTTGGGAGGTCTAGGCAGGTAGATGTTTGAGACCAGCCTGGACAACATGGTAAAACACTGCCTCTACAAAAACAAAAATTAGCTGGGTATGGTGGTGTACATCTATGGTCTCCGCTAAACAGGAGTCTGAGGTGGGAAGATCACCTGAGTCCGAGGAGCTTGGTTTGTAAGATTATAATACATTAACTTTTAGTGCTAAAAGGATGGAACTGGTAAAATGATTTGACCAAAGTCACTCAGTGGCAAAGTTGGATTAAGAGCCCAAGTATGGCCAGGCATAGTGGCTCACACCTGTAATCCTAGCACTTCAGGAAGCCAATCCGGGTGGGATCACTGGAGCCCAAGAGGTCAAGACATGCTTGGACAACAAAGTGAGACCCTGTCTGTGCAAAAAATAATTAGCTGGCTGGGTGAGGTGGCTAATGCTTGTAATCCCTGCACTTTGGGAGGCCAAGGCAGGCGGAATCACCTGAGGTCAGGAGTTCAAGACCAGCCTGACCAACAGGATGAAATCCCGTCTCTACTAAAAATACAAAAAATTGCCGGGCGCGGTGGCTCAAGCCTGTAATCCCAGCACTTTGGGAGGCCGAGGCGGGTGGATCACAACGTCAAGAGATTGAGACCATCCTGGTCAACATGGTGAAACCCCGTCTCTACTAAAAATACAAAAAATTAGCTGGGCATGGTGGCACGTGCCTGTAATCCCAGCTACTCAGTAGGCTGAGGCAGGAGAATTGCCTGAACCCAGGAGGCGGAGGTTGCAGTGAGCCAAGATCGTGCCATTGCACTCCAGCCTGGGTAACAAGAACGAAACTCCATCTCAAGAAAAAAAAATACAAAAAATTAGCTGGGTGTGGTAGTATGTGCCTGTAATCCCAGTTATTCAGGAGGCTGAGGCAGGAGAATTGCTTGAACCTGGGAGGCGAAGGTTGCAGTAAGCCAAGATTGTGCCACTGCACTCCAGTCTGGGCAACAAGAACAAAACTCTGTCTCAAAAAAATAATAATAATTAGCTGAGCATGGTGGCAAGCACCTGTAGTCCCAGCTACTCCACTGTACTTTCAGCTACTCGAGGGGCTGAGGTGGGAGATGGAGGCTGCAATGAGCTATAATAGCATCATGGCACTCCAGCCTGGGTGACACAGTGAGACTCTGTCTCAAAACAAACAACCAAAAAAAATCAACCCAGCTAGGCAGAATTCCAGTCATTGCACTACTTTCACTGATCAGAGATGGCACTTGCTTCCTGCCACATTGTTTAAGACTCTGGAGGCTGGGCACAGTGGCTCATGCCTGTAATCCCAGCACTTTGGGAAGCCAATGCAGATGGATCACAAGGTCAGGAGATTGAGACCATCCTGGCTAACACGGTGAAACCCCATCTCTACTAAAAATATAAAAAATTGCCAACTTCCCTGGCCCCTTTCCCCGGGACCATGGAACCTTACCCGAGAGTTAAATAAATAGGCATTTAATTAAAAAAAAAAAATTAGCCAGGTGTGGTGGCAGGCACCTGTAGTCCCAGCTACTCTAGAGGCTGACGCAGGAGAATTGCCTGAACCCAGAAGGCGGAGGTTGCAGTGAGCCGAGATTGCTACACCCCAGCCTGGGCAACAGAGTGAGACTCCACCTCAAAAAAAAAAAGAGACTGGATGTGAGGCTGCCTGTAAGAAGAGAAAGAGATGAGTAAACCTATTCCTTTTTGGGGGCAGGAGGTGGGGGAGGGACAGAGTCTTAGAGTCTTAACTCTGTCACCAAGGCTGGGGGTACAATGGTGTGATAACAGTTCACTGCAGCCTCGACTTCCCAGGCTCCCATCTCAGCCTCTCAGGGAGCTGGGACTATAGGTGTGCCCCACCATGACCAGCTAATTTTTTGGTATTTTCTGTAGACACAAGATTTCACCATGTTGGCCAGGCTGGTCTCAAACTCCTGGGCTCAAGTGTTCTGCCTGCCTCAGCTTCTCAAAGTGCTGGGATTACAGTCATGAGCCACTGCACTGGGTGTAAACCTATTCTTAATTTAAGATAAAGAACCAATGTTTAATTCTAGCTGCCCCCACCAGAGCAGTACAAGCCCCCTTTAAAATGTAACTGGTGAATAGGAACACATGGGAATCTTTAATTTCTGGCAAAGCTTTGTAGATCTGCTTTTTCTCTCAGCCTGTGGAAGGAGGTGGGTCACCAATCCTTCCATCCCCTTAACCTCTCCCACCCCCACTGGACACAGATAATGCCATTTAACTAATTAAACCAGACTTGCCCTCTCTTTAGGTGCCAGTTCCCATTATGGTAACAGCTGTCAGTGAGGCTTCTATTGATGGATACTTCCTTGGGCAGGCCAGCCCTAAGCCTGAATCTCCACCCCCCTTTTCACAGCTCTATTTTCTCTCTGCCTCCTTTTCATTCCTTTCCCTCTCCTCTCCTGCTTTTTCTCCTTTCATTGACCTCCTCTTATTTGATAGCTTTGATTTCTATTTCTTTTCTTCCTTCATCCCTAATTTATTCTTTCTCTTCTTAGTGCCTTTAATTTCTTCCTTCTTACAACTGACCGTATCTCTACATTCAGCCCCACCATTTCCTACTGTCAGTAACTTTTTGCTGGACAATTTTTTTGGAAGTTGAATTAAGCCTAACCTGCAGGAATGAGTATGTGAATAAATGTAGCTTGTAAAACACTTATTTTACATGACACAGAGGATCTAGTTCAAACTGGATGAATAAGTCATTGCTGTTATAAAAAGCAAGAGACAGCTTCTTTGCTCATTGGTTTAGTTGACTTTTGAGGATTTACTTTGTTTCAGAGACCAAGTATTTTTAATTCCTAGTCAAAATAAGTTTTAGGCCAGGCACAGTGGCTCAGGCCTGTAATCCCAGCACTTTGGGAGGCCGAAGCAGGCAGGAGTTCAAGACAGGAGTCTAAACTGAACCTGAGGTCAGGAGTTCGAGACAAGCCTGGCCAACATCTCTACTAAAAATACAAAAATTAGCTGGGCGGTAGTGGCCTGTAATCCCAGCTACTCGGGAAGCTGAGGTAGGAGAATTGCATGAATCCCTTGAACCTGGGAGGCAGAGGTTGCAGTCAGCCAACATTATGCCACTGCACTCCAGCCTGGGTGATGGAGACTCTGTCTCAAGAAAAAAAATTTTTTTTTAAAATGAGACCAAGTGCTGGTTAGGTATAAAGATAAATACTGTCATCCCTCAATTAATAACCGGGACACATTCCAAGAAATGTATCATTAGGTAATTTTGTTGTTGTGCAAACCTCATAGAGTGTACTTACACAAACCAAGATGGTAGAGCCTACTACACACCTAGATTATATGACATAGCCTATTGATCCTAGGCAACAAACCTGTACAACATATTACCGTACTAAATACTGTAGCCAATTGTAGCACAATGGTATTTGTGTATCTAGACATACAAAAGGTACAGTAAAAATACAATAGGAAAAATTAAAAACTGGTACACCTATATAGGGCACTTTCTGTGAATAGATTTGCAGGACTGGAGGTGGCTGTGGGTGAGTCAGTGAGTGCATTGTAAGTGAACGTGAAGGTCTAAGACATTACTATAAACTTTGTGAACGTGAAAGTCTAGGACATTACTATAAACTTTGTAAACACTGTATGCTTAGACTACATTAATTTTTTTTTTTTTTTAAGATGGGGTTTCACCATGATGGCCAGGCTGCT